AAATGCTACCACTCTTAGATATACTTTTCAACTTCAACAAAGTCGACATTTAAGTACACATATGTATGCATATGATCTTTATCCACCTGATACAAATCCATTTGGTTATATTTGGTATGTTCCAATAACATGTCGATTTAGTAATGATTCAACAAACTTTCAATCAACTCGAACATTTTTACTTGATAATAAAATAATGAATATAGACTTTGGTTTTATTTATTATACATATTTTTATTGTAATACTGATTTTGCTGGATATTATATTATGGAATATACATCTGAGAATTCAGTAGAATTAGGTCAAGCTTTAGATAATAACAATGTTGAATTAACTGAACTTGATCGAGCTAATTTATTAAATAATGCATTTTTAAATGCTGAAACAAGTGAAACAAGTTATGCAGTTGTGAGATCATTTACACAATTTTTGTATCGTCCTGTCTATACAGGTTTACTTCCATGGCAAATGTTATCATATCATGTAAATCGTATGTTAGATGTACTTGAATATGAATCATTATTTCTTGTAGTTCAAGTAAACGAAAAAAAAAAAATTATTTCAAGAAAAATAAAAACTCTCTTTTGTTTTCAAATAGAGATATTTTCAACTTGTTGTTCGAAATTATTATAGAACATATGAAGAAAATTTATGGAAAGCCGATGGAACATTTTCTGAACAGTAATTAAAATTTCTTTTGTTGTTTATTTAGAAAAACTTTTTTTTTTTTGTTATTTAAGAATTCTTAAAAATACAATTATTCAACTTGCATGTCGACTACGATTAATTGAATGTATTAATAAAGCAACTTCATTATGGAATGAAGCATATCCTGCTTTAGCTAGTGGAACCGCTATGCATTCGTCAGTATATTTATTTTTGTTTTATCTATTTAAAATAATTAATATTTGTATTTTGTTTTAGAGTTGCTGCTCATGCTCGAGAAGTAGTCTATCAAACTCATTTTCAAAATACATATAATGATAGTGAATGGATAGTAATTGAAAGTGATTTTCATTATTTTGTTGATGTACAAGAACGTTATCGTTTACTCGAAGCATTAACACAATCACGTCAACCATGGCATTTATATCAGTGAGAAAATGTGTTATTTTTCATTCTAGCTTGTTTGTATTTATTTATTTATTAGATTTTTATATCGAGATGCAGAAGCAAATCAAAATCTTGATGTTGATTTATTATCTGTGTTAACATTACTTGCAAAAAATCCTGCAGGTTAGAAAACTTAAAATATCTAACTTTTTTTTTTCTAAATTTATTATTTAATAGGTCGTGAATTAGTCTGGTATTATTATCGAGCAAATTGGTTTCAACTTCAATCTACGTATGTCTTTGATTTTTATCTGTAATATTTGGTTTCTTTTTGTTTTTTAAATATAGTTACGGACGAACAAATCAGCGATTAGGACAATTGCTGATTGATATAACAGCAACATTTGAAGATGAATTTCATGAGATTGCAGTAAGATCTATAAATGATTATTAGTCTTCCATATTTTATTATTATATTTAGTTAACTGAATTTCTTGCATCAACACCAGGTGTTGATTCAAATGTTGATGCACGTTTTTGGGCACTTGAACGTACAAATATGAATTATTGGTGGATAGTTGATAATTCAGCAGACATGGCTCAGTCATTCAATATTGATGAGAAACATATTTGACATCATTTTTTTTTAAATTTATCTATAATCATGTTTTTCTACAAGTCTATTCTTATAATATGATTAAACAACTTGAGAAATATCCATTGATCACTCGATCAATATATTCGAATTTGTTTGTTCATTTCTATGAAAATAAGAACTCAATTGAATTCAAATTGGTAATTGAAAATATTCATGTATTCTAGTGTTTATTTTATGTTAAAAAATCCTTGTAAAGACAATGGGTCGTATATTCGACAAAAGTGTGGTTCTTATTTCACTTCCCATAAACCTCTATTTGCATATATGTGATTCACTCACATGCAGTATCATGTGAGGATGAGGGTGACATGTGAAAAAGGAAGATTTATCCCATGGAATGGATTCATAGACGATCACAAACAAGAAAAATTCACCAAGCAATCGTATTTATACTAATGTCTAATGTTTGTTATTTTCTAGATTTCTATGAGTTATCTTTTCATAATGCAAAGAAAAATTTTTTTGCCAATGTGATTTTTCACCATAGCGACCAATTGTTGTAGATTCCTTTAAAACGGTCACACAGTTTTATTACCTTCAATTTCTTACCAAAAAGTTTCTTTTAAAATTTAACAGCTATAAACAAATTTTTAATTATTGAAAAATATAATAAAAATTCAATAAATTATTTGTATAAGATTTTATTCATAAACTTACATAGTTAGTGAGCGTTTCCTTATGTCAAATTAAATAATATTATTTAATTATCCTTCAACTAAAGCTAGAATCTTGTGAAGTAAAAATTTTGACTCCGACATTCATAAATCTATATAATAGTATATTTTTGTTCATTTTTTAAAATATAAAAAATAAAGTTATTACTATGTAAGACTATAAATACTTGGTTTTTTTTTCGCTTATGTAACTCCCATATAAAATTCGAAAAAAATACTTTACGGACATTCAGACTTTATCCAAGTCGAATTTCACAGTTCGAGACAAGGCTCTAACTAACGCACAGAAAAGAAATTTTCTACATAGATTATCATCATCGATGTAAAGATGAACAATATAGTTCTAAATTTTCTATATATTTTTAAAAGTATATATTGTAACAAAAGAAAAAGAAAAGAAGAAATATAACCATACAATAGGAAAGTAAAGTACAACTGTCTTATATATTATAATCACATTTTATCAGCTTCAGGACGAATGGAGACCATAAAAAATTCAACAAAGTAATGAAAAAGAAAAATTGAATTATTAAATAGGCTAGATGTCATCAAAAAAGAAATTGTTATATTATTCAAATTCATCCGTCGTTCATCATCATCCTTACATATAAGAATTATGTTACCAAATTCGAATGATGATATTTCATATCATACGAATCTTCCAACACGTTTCATTCATGGTATCAGCTATGTCGATTTTAATCAAGTATGACAAATTAAACTAAGAAATAGAATTTGTAAGAGAAAAAGAAAAAAAACTAGTTAGAGAAACAGCAAATATTGAAATTTTATTTCCTGTATTTCTCTTTTATATCGTTATTGTTTCTTCTTCCTCTTCTCAGAATACTTCAAATATTTTCTTAAGTTGTTTTTACTTATTCTCTTCCGGTTAGCTTTTTAATGATCAAATAGAAAAATCAAAGTTGATATAAATATACACACAAAAAAAAAAATAGTGTGAATAAAGAACATCATTAGTATACTCAGTTTCTAAGATACCAAAAAAAACATAGATGAAACTTAGCGAACATACTGCTTTTACAGGATGATGAAAATCATGTTGATGGTTACAAGAAAAATGAATATCCTTTAGCAAATACCATTTCTATTCAACGATCTAATCAACAACAAACAATTCATACAGTTAGACATTCAAATTCATCGTTAGGCGCTACCTCTGTTCCTCTATTAAGAGATACAACAACAATATTTGATAGTGAAAGTATGTCAACAAAAGCAAAAAACAGGATTTATTTCTTTTACAATACAATTATAATTGAATTTTTTTAGGAAAACGAGCAAAACCTGTAGTAATACCAATTGAAGAAGATGATGATGGTGATGATGATGATGTAAAACAATCTACTACTGAATCAACTCCACCAACACAAATATCAAAATCAACTACTACAAGTGATACTACTCAACATATAAGTCCTATAGAAATGTCTCTTATTGACAATAAAAATAACAATAATCATAATAATCATAATAACAATAATAATAATAATCATAATAATCATAATAACCATAATCATAATAACAATAATAATAATAATTCTGAAACTATTATCAATGGGAATAATAATTATGAAAATAATAAAAATCATATTCAACGTAAACGAAGTATATCACCACTAAAACATTTACCAAATAGTAGTGTAAAACGAAGTAATTCCGATGCACATCTATTAACATTAGATATGAATAATGAAGAAAAATCACCACATATAATAAAAAGTATAACAACAACAAAAATAAATCAAACAAAATTAGTACCAAAAACTAAATATACAAATGCACCTTCATCTTCAACAGTATTCATTACAAAAACTGGACAATCACCATCACTTAAACATAGTTCATCATTAAATACACGTAAGCATCAAGAATATATATATATTTTTCTTGTGTTTAAAAGTGATATTTTCAGTGAAAATGTAACAGAGCATAGTATAAATAGAGAATTTTTACTTTAAAGTGTTGGCTATTAAGTCTACTTCAGTCAAATGAGTTTTTATTGATTAAAAACAAAATAATAAAATCGTGAAAATTTTTTGATAAACATCTAATTTTATATTGTTCTTTCTGTTATATTTATTTTCAAGGTATAGAAAAATTCAATAAAAATTTTTATGCATCATAATAAATTGAATTCAAAAAGAAAATTTATAAGGTTTTTTTATTGATCAAAAAACTAAAAAACTTACTAGAATATCTAAGTATATACATGGAAGAATTGAATTGAAGTTATCATCAAATAGATGTATCGATTTTGAAATTTGATTAATTGATTTGATTTGATTTTTTTCTAATCATAGCTCGAACACTTGCTGTTATGCCATCAGTAAATGCTCATGCACTTCAAGGTGTTTTAGTTCGATTTTTTCGTAATGGTGATGAATATCATCATGGTGTTAAATTAGCTATTAATGAATATGATCTTAAATCTTGGGAAGCATTTCTTAATTATCTTGATCGTCAATCAAGACTTCGTTTACCGACTGGTGCTATAAAACATGTTTATTCATTAACTGGTCAAGAAATTCGTTCTATTAATCAATTTCAGAATCGTCAATCATATGTTGTTGCATCCGGAGCATTCATTCGAACAAATTATCGTTATATGCATACTTTATTTACCGATGAAATAGATCCAAGTCTAAATATAAATACACAACAAGATACAATTCCTTATTGGAATACACGATTATCTGTTCATCCACGTTGGCATTCACCACCTCCTAATAATGAACAAATTTTTTTATTACCTTATTCACAATTAAATATGTATGAAAGTGTGATTTTTAATCGAAATGTAACACAAACATTTGAGCAATGGTTACAAGATCAAGTAACAGATTTACTTTCTCATTATACAAATCATGAAAATATAAGACATTTATTTGGTATGACAAAAGATAGTTTTGTAGAAATAAAAAGTTTTTCAAAATTATTCAATATAATTAAAATAAGCGATACATTTATTGGATGTACAGAAAATGAATATGTACATGCAAAACATTATTTAGGAACAATGACACCACATGAATTATTTACGGATCGTCAATGGCCACGACGATCGATTAATAGAACTAATTACAAACGTCCTTCGAAACCAAGTAATATTTATTTCAAAATAAATATAAAAAATTTCTTTATTAAACTTTAATTTATATTTTTGTTTTGATAGTTGTTGAAAATTCAAAATTATCATTAAGTTGGATGTAGGTTAAAAATATTAAAAAAAAAACATCTCTTTATTTGATTTCTTTTTAGTCATGGTTATCTTGGTGAAAATGAATTAACAAAAAGACTTTATACTCTTCCAGAAAATGAAATACTTTATGTTATTGGTTCAATTTGTATTTTATATGAATCAAAATTAAAACAACAACGCTTCTATACAAAACATAATAATTTGATCACTTGGTAAGAACTATTTCAAATTAGAATTTATATAAATATGTATATGTTTTTTGTTTTTATAAACATAATAGTGTTCATATTCATCAATATCAATCATTAGTTGCATCAAGTGAAATACCTTCATCAAAAATTAATCAACGAGCTTTAATACATATTTGGGATCATGTAAAACTTCGAACAATAACTGAAATACGTAAAGATCAATTTGGTTCTTATATAAGTTTATTATTATTTTCACCCAAAACAGATGATGATTTAATTCTTATTATTTCACGTGATAAACCTAAAATTGTTTTATTTGTTGATTGGAAACGAAATGAATTAATTTATAGTATAACAGTGAGTGTCACTCAATAAGAATCCAATATTTTCTTGACATATATTCATTTTGAGCAATATAGAAGAGAATAAACGGAATAATTTTCATTCTTTTAGTTTATTGGTATCAGTTGTACATGTCATCTTTCAGCATTGAAGATGTTATAAAGTCAAGAGAAAGAAATCGAATTTCTCTTAATGTAAAAATAAATTTCATTGGAATAGAAATTATATCAGAAAATCAAAGTCACAATTAGTTTCACATCGGTTTTATGCTCTCTGAGAGTATGAATTCAGAATATAGATGAATTATATATATTAGGCATGAGTAGGATCAATCATTTTTGATTCCAGTGGAACTCGAACCAGTATCATCTTATCCTTATCTATTTAAAATACATGACAATATGACATTCAACGCAACTTTTACATGACCATAAAAACTATCGCTCTCAATAGAAAAATGTTGGTGTTTGTTTCGATGGGGCCGAAACTATCTTACCCATATGTAATATATATACCGTTCCGCTGCATACTCCGTCAGAGGATATATCCTGTACGTATCATTTAATAGTATCGTGACAATAGATCTAAATATTTTAATATAGAAATTGAATTTGTTATTTAAGTGATTGTACGCCCTGCCGTACAGATTATCGTAGTTTAATACATTTTAAAGACATCTATATTTAACCCTTTGGCTATAGAGTTATTACAAAGATGACAAAAAGTGTGAGTTTGCTCATACAAGTCTAGAATCGGATATATACGTCAAAGGAACACAGTAAACTGAGTTAGGTTTCAACCAACACCATGTAATTCAGTACTTGCAGAGTCAAGCGGAGTTGTGCAGAACCTTACGTAACTCCATGAATAATCCTGGGGGTTTTCTTATCATAATATGAATCTAATAAAATTGAACGTATTATCTTGTGTAAGATTAGAGTTTCATTACTCATCGAACCTTTCCGGAGCCACAATGATTGTAGCATTCTTGCAATTTTACGGATTTCTGTTTGGTTTCATAAGCCTTTGAACGATTTTAGGATTAGAGAGCCTATGAATTCTCACAGATTTTGAAATCCATAACTTCTTTTTTTTCAACTTGACATACATGTACAGCGATATTACAAGCATAAAGGAAAGGGAGAGCACCGTATAGCCGAATTAAGGGAGAAAATTGTAAAAGTTATAATCTACATAAAAGCTTAGTCCGTATCTATACGAGTCCCATAACTAAAGGGTTAAATAAATTTATTCAAAAATATTTTTAATCATCGGAATAAAATTGAATTTGTTGTTTGTTTTTTCTAGTGTAAATCTGATAACATTCTTTCAGTATTATTTGTATTCAATACAACTGAATGGATAGCATGTGTCACTCGACAAAATTTACTTTTTTATCATATTAATTGGAATTTAAGACCATTACATATGTTAGAACGACGAGAATCAGAAGTTCAAGTAAGAAATATTTCAATATATTAGAATATGAATTAATCAATTCAAAATTTTAGAATATTTATACTGGAGCAGCAGCATGTGATACTATTGGCGAACGATTACTAATTGGTGATAAAGTTGGTAGTATTCATATTTGGTGTTTAATTAATAATGAACCAAAATTAGTTGCTGTTCAAGAATGTATTTTAGAAGTATTTGAATTATTTATTTTATTTAATTATATTGTTTTTTATATTAAATATTAGAATGATGTTGAAACAATTGTACCAATGGGTCAAGACGTATTTCTTTTTGCTAATGGACAATATCAAATCAAAATTTGGAATATGAGTTCAAATACAGTTGAACACATACGAGTAAAAAAAATTATTGTTTCAAAAAAATGCGGCAGTAGACAAAAGTCTCCCATCTCTCGGTATTGCGATTACCATATATGCTATATGGTGGAAAAATTTGTGTGCACATATTCCATTAAGAATGTAGGCCTATGATACGAACTTACCTCGAGTGTTTAAATGGAATGAAAATTATGATGGATGGATCACCCCTATTTATCCTCTTCATTTTATAACTCTGAAACCGAAGAACTTTGTGAATCAGTTCATTCTTCGTTATTTAGTGATTTGTTCCGATTAACTACTGTATTAATTTTATCGAAGTTCATGAATCTTTCCTAGAATTGTAGCCATTTTTCTATGATCATTCGGATGAGAAAAACCTATCTGCTGACTTTTGAAGATCATAACTCAGTAATAGTTCAGTGACTCGAGCTGAAACTTGTACATAGGCTTTGTTGTAATTTAAAGTACCATGCAAAAAAACTGTCATCCGAATAACCATTGTGTTGGTGAATAGGACTCAGAGGCAACAACCTCTGATTAAATCACCTAATTTTTTGACTAAAAAAAAAAGCATAGACTGGTTCAACTTGCATGCTAAAATATCAAGACCTAGTCATGTGCTTGACAACAGATAGCGAAAGATTTAGTAGACAATCTATTTCAGGCTAATCTCTTTCCGGATGTTAACATCAAAAGCTTTTCGATTTTTAGTTTTTCATTGCTAGTATAGTTTCGAAGTATCATCTACCAAACGCCATATAAATCGGGGTTCTTCGTTGTTAGTTAGTACTCTTATTAAACAAAATTCTCGAAATTCCTAGCAGAAAAACTTGTGATAAGATTATTCTTTGTATGCAAAATTTTTCTAATGATAATGATTATTTTTCATTCCAAAGGTGCTGAAAACATGGGTCATGGATTTCTAACATCATTAAACACGGCCAGTTTTCGATCACTTTAGTTAGTTGGAGAAAAAAGTCCTCATCCATATAAGAAAATTCGATTTTCATTGTTCTCGAAAATCAATTTTTACACAAAAAAAGTGTAGAATCTCTTTTAATTTCTCCAACATAGTACGTTCGAGAGAGCTGAAACGTTTTTTTTTACAGGTACTGGACACTGCTTGAAATGCCTATTTTTTTGTTTTTGATCTTTGTATTCGAATGGAACAAGATAAAAAGAAACCAAAAACACTAAGCACTTCAAATAGTGTCAGTATCTATAGAAAAGATTTCAGTTCTGTCGGACATATTACGATTGAGAAATAGGAATGATTTTTAGCTTTTGCAACCCAAATATTTCCTAGAAGAAGGTATTTGGAGTTTCTGACAACTTTTGCTCTACTCATCGAGATATATCCATCCTAAAAGTTTTAAATATGTCAAATGAGCAGTTTTGTTAGACACCCCGAAAAGGGTGACGGGTTGCCTTAAATAATCGGAGCGATCTCACGCTTCGGAACTTAACTCTTAGTGCAGTATGTATACACAAATTTTCAAACCTCCAGCATGTATTTTAGCCGAGATACGAGTCATGAGAGACTTTTGTTCATTATTTATTCTCTTTTTTTTTTTTTTATTATGATAGTTAAATGAAACAATTGGTTCAATTCAATCAATTTGTTGTATCCGACAAGGTTCAGTTTCTGTTGCGTTAGCTATTGGAACAAAATCAAATTATATTATATCGAAAGAAATTGGAAAAGAACAATTTGATATTATTATGCGAGTATGTTTTATAATTATCTCAATATAAAAATAATTCCTTATATTTAGGGACATACAAGTCCATTGATTTGTATATGTTGTCAGAAACAAAGTCGTTCTTATTTTTCTATAAGTTCTGATCGATATTTATTTAAATGGAATCATAGAACAAAAGTTGTTGAATGGTCAACAAAAACTAAAGTAAATATTAATTATCTATTAGAATCTAAATTGATTAGTATGCTTTATTTTATTTTTTTAGCAACCTGTGTCTTGTGCTGATTTACATCCTGAACGAAATATAATTGTTCTTGGAACTGAAACAAGTAAATTACTTATTTATGATACTTTAACATCCTATTATATAACAACAATAACATTAAAAGTTAATACAAGTGTTAAATCAGTTCGATTTTCTCCTGGTTTGTTATTTTTAAAATAATAATAATTATGAATAAGTTTTTAAAAAAAAAATGCTTTTTTTGTCTTTTAAATAATAATAGATGGTTCAAATTTAGCTGTTGGATTACATAATGGAAATGCTTTTATTTTTAATGTATTAGGTAATGGAGATTTTTCTCTTCATACTAATGGAATACTTCATGTAATATTCAACGTCTACTTTATTTTTTTGTTTGAAAATATTTAATTTCTTTCTTTTTGTTTTCTTCAGAATGATAAATCACATGTAAGTGATGTTATATGGTCAATAGATTCAAAATATCTTCTTGTTATTTATACGGATAATGATTATAATATTTGTAAATGTTTATTAATTCATTAAAAAAAAAAGAATTTTTGATAAGATGATTTTAGGGTCAATACCAACATTTGAGATTATAGTAGGAATAAATATTCAAAATATTAAATGGCATGAAGGTTTACATCCAATTGTGTGTAACACATTAGGTATGTTTGATAGGAAAATAGGAATACTATGTTGTCTGAAATATTTATTCATTTGAAAATAGAAGTTTATAGACTGATTTTGTAATGAGTGATTGAAAAGTTTTTCGACAAGATGTTTGTTCGTTTTTGACCCGTTAGAAAGTGTTTTTGATGAGTTAGGACACTCTTTTCGAATATAGGCTTAGAAATGTTGTTGGAAAATAGTGAAATAATCTTTGAAAAATTCAGCAAAATAGTTTGGATGGAATTTGTAACGCCGACGTTTTTGCTGAATATGGACCTGCTTGAAAATATTTCAGACGAGCTAAAAACTATAGGTCACGATTAGAATTTGAATATGAGCTTAGGAATGCTATGTTTATTTTTGTTGAAGAATAGTAAGCGACTTTTTGAAAGACTTAAGAATCGTAGGCCAACGGGTTTTTATTTACTCTAAAAGTCCCTTTTCGAACATGCTAAAATTGTCGGAATCGGTTGTTTTGGAGAGTGAATACTTCTCTAAAATGTGATATTCAACTAAGCTGTAGTTTTCACCCAAATATTTTTCTAGAGCTCATTTCAAAAATAAGCGTTTAGGAAAAACGATAATTGAGGCGATTTGTCGAATGACAAAAAAAAACTTCAAATAATGTACTGTGTAGGGTAGCTTCTAATTTACAAGCTGACATATAAACAAAGATACCAACTTTTAGATTTGAATCATAATAATGAAAATACAAAAATTTTCCGTGCAAACTAATTTGTTTGGTTTTTCAAAGATTATTTCACTAATCTTGAATAAAATTTCTAAGCCCATATATGTGAAAAGAACATCCTGACTCATATCTTTGGATACTTTCTAGCGAGTTAAAAGTGAACAAATATCTTCTGTAAAAACTTTCCGATTATCCATTAATTTAAGATTTGTTCGACAATGAACTTTATCTTTAACTTGCCATTTAAAAACAAAAAAGGTCTAGTTTCTTTTTGTGTAATTTCTATAATTATGCATATGTGCGTGACAAAAGAAACTATATACTTCAATTTATAATTGCAATACAGAAATTAATATTAATAAAAAAACAAATGAAATAAACGTTTCTCATTATTTTCGATTGATTATGTTCTCTATTTTATTCTATTGAATAAACTATACTTTGAGTCATATCACATATCAAGGAAATCGGAGATACTAAAGATATTATTGATTACATTCCTAATTCCATATGGAATAGAAGATGTGACTATATATGGTTTTCTTTTTGTTAAGAATTACAAAACTATTTCTTATAGATAAATCCGCTATTGATTTACATGCATCAGCAATTACTCTTAGTCAAAATCGTGTTCTATCTTGTGGTAAAGATGGTCAACTTCGTTTACTTCGAAATCATTATGAAGTAAATGAAACAAAAAAAAAATTATTTCAATAATTTTTTTGTTTTTGTTATTTATTAATTTATAGCGTAATTCTCAAATGTTTAAACTTGGTCTTGGTCCAATTCAAAGTATTATACCATCAACAATGAATAATACATTTCTTTTATCAATGCGTGATTATCCTATAATTGTAGAAATTCAAATTAATATTAATGCTCGTCTGTCATAGTCAATGCTTTTGCTTTTCATTTTTTTTTCTTCTGGCGTGAATGTCAGTCGTTGTGAAAATAATTTCATATTCATTACTGTTGAGTAGCATACGCATTATATTTTTCTGTTTGTGTTTGAATCTAGACAAAGAGAACAAGAAAAAAAAAGGAGGAAGGAGTCATGGCAACTCGAATAGAGATGCTTGTTTGCGAGTTTACGGAGTTTAATAAAATTTTTTTTTTGCATTGTTTTTTTTCAGATGAACAGACGTTCTTTAAACGATACTCTATTTGGTATTCAAGGTATTAATCCAGGATTTTCCGCTCGAGACGATCCAAATGCTATTCCATCTCAACAAACAACTGGAAAAGTTGTATTAAAACGGTTTGTTTATTATTATTGAAATGAGAAAAAGAAAAAAATTTCAATATTTTATTTTTAACAGACAACAACTTTTAGCATGTCCTTATTTAAAAGTTGATGAACAAATAAAATTACTTAATTTACAAAAAAATTGTATTACTAAAATAGCTAATCTTGATCATTTAACATGTCTTGTTGTACTTGATTTATGTGAAAATGAAATTGATTGTATTCAAGGTTTGGATTATTTATGTTCATTAAGAATTCTTCGATTAGCAAATAATAAGTAAGATTATTTAGAAAATATCAATTATTATTATTATGTTTTTTAATAAAGAATAAAGCAAATAAAAAATCTGGATGCACTTGAACAACTTGATGTACTTGACCTAAATGGAAACCAAGTAAGTTTCTATTTAAAAATTAATTATTTTGATTTCTTTTACGAACATAGATTTCTCGAATTGAAAATTTTACAAATTTAACACGTTTACGTGTTCTTAATTTATCACACAATCGTATAGAAAAATGTGAAAATTTGCGAACCTTAAAAAATCTTGTTGAACTTAATCTTCAAGGAAATCTTATCACCACTGTGGTAAGTTTTTTTTTTTCTAAAGTCTTTTCGAAATTAATTTATTCTCTTTTAAAATTAGTGTGATCTGGAAACATTACCAATTCAAAGATTATTCCTAAGTTTTAATAAAATTCGAAAATTTGATGATATTCGCTGTATTTCAAAACTTACTACACTTGAATGTCTATCACTTGAAGGTAAATAATTCAATTCTTATTTGATTTGCAGCACACCCGAGCTCCAGTTCGGTCTCCGATGCTATCCAGCGAGTTCAGATCACATCGAGTATTTAGGTAGCTGTTCAAGCAGTCCTTGAAGCATCCTAAAATTCGATTAAGTTCAAATTTGGATACTTCCGAACATCGTTTTTGGGTCATTTATTTCACTGTCTTGTAGACTTATCATAGCATATTGTGAAAAGCCGTTTTGTGGTTTATTTCTCCTCTCGAGTTTTATTAATTGAAAATGACTGCATTCAAGACCGAATCTGAACGTTTGAATTCAGTCCATGCCTAATTTTTGTCAATAGTTCTATTCTCTTGCTGTTTATTTAGGTAATCCATTAGCATTTACAGCTGCGTATGAACAAATTATTTTATCTCAATCACAAGCTTCTACGATTAAACAAGATTCTCGCCAGCCAATGACTATGGTAAATAATTTGATTTATTATTTTTTTTTGGAGTTAAAAAAAATATACAAAACGGACTTTTTTTATGATTTTTAGGACCAACGAATCGGTCGTGTAATGCGAATGCAACATAATAATAATAATAACAATAACAATAATAATAATATTACTGAAACAGCACATATAAATCGTGATCGACGTCTTCTTGATACTCTTTCAAGTCAACAAGATTCTATGAGTGAACGAAGTGATACAGATATTGATTCTGTCAAGTAAAATATCAAAAAAAAATCATTTTTATTCTTTAAAACAAAACGAATTCTTCTATAGAACATATCCACCACCAGTTTTCAGTCGAACATCATCAATTACACAACAAAAACCCGTAATCAAACCAATACCAGAAACAATAAATCCATTACTTATTGAAACAAAGTTAAATCCAGTAAGTTGAAAAGAGAAAAAGAATTTTCAAATGAAAATATATTTAATTATTTTTAACAAAAAAAGATTATTGCTGAACGATCAACATTAGCAAAAACTTTCGTACAATCAGCAATCGAGGATGCTTTTCGAAAAGAATCAATGACTGTTCAATTAGCACGATGTTGGCCTTTATTCTTAACTCAATTAAGAAATGATTCAAATTAATTCGAAAAACAATTTATTTTTTTTTTCATTAATGAGATTTTGTCAGATGTTTTCTTTTTCTTTCATTTGAATTATTCATTAGTTTATATAATAAAATGAAATGTGAACTGCACAAACAAAAAAAAAAACAAAAGTTAACTTCGATTAATATTGACTAATAATTGGAATGTGTTTAAATGGATTATATGAAAACTGTGAAAGACAATACAAGTCAATTAATTATAAAGAAATATCATCGAAGAATAAAAATATTGTCTTTTTTTAAACATTATTGTTTACGCTAAAATCCACAGATGATTTTGATCGTACAGAATCTCCAAAATTATTAAATGAATGAGAACAGACAGGTAAATTTCGACTTGTATCGCCATATGTTTGTCCAATACGATATTTGCTTTCTAGAGAAACAAAAAAAAGATAGACATCGGTTAATAAAGATTAAAGTTTTCATACGAGGAAGATATCCAGTATATTTTGGAACCATTCCAGATTGTGCATAAAGTCGATGACTTGAAAAACTTGTTATCGAACGTGGTAAAACCTTTGGCGAATCTGGTGGTGGACTTAAATAAATAAAAGAAAAGAAAACAACAAATGATTATTAATATGTTTCTAATAATTGAATTCGAAATTTTAGACAACATAGACTAAACAGCTTATATATAAATCATAAGAAAATTATAAATCTCTTTTATAGCGGACAAATATTTAACAATGAAAAACCTGTTAATAATTAGATGAATAACTTGATTGACTGAAAGAAATCAAATTCTTTTTATTGTATCAATTTCTATTTTTTTTTAGTGATATTTACATCGGTTCTGAAGGTAAATCGATTGATGTTGGAAAATTAGTTGTTAAAGTTGTTGATTCTAGAGCAAAACGATTTAAACCTTTTTTTGTTGCTTCATGATAACGTGAACCAAGACCAATATCTGTTGGACGAATACGAGGAATATATCCTCTATAACCAGGAATAGGTGGTTCAAGAAATACACGACGATCACCTATATCATTCAAATAAAAATAGATTTTTTTTGTGTTTTCTTGAAAACGTTTTTTTTTTACTTGTCTGTGAACTCTCGGTTGGATTGTAAGCTCGATGAAAATCAAGAAAATGTTTTATTACTGTTTCACTATTTAAGCTTTTTGTTTTTGGATAAGCAGCAATAATATTTCGTAATTCTTTAGATTTATTTTTAGTTTGTTCATGCATAACTTTTGTTTCTGATAAACATCCATCTGTTTCAACACGATATCGATTACCAAGTTGAAATTTTCTTTGAGGTATGTAACCTTATATAAAATAAATGTTAATTATGAGACAAACAAAAAAAAATAGAACTTATATGATGTATTATTCACCTGTATATCCTGGAAGCATTCCATCAGGAAATTCATGCGTTTCATATGGATCAGATTGATCAATTTTTTCAATTGGTGCATTCGATTTTGAATGTACTGCGTAAGGAAATTCGTTACCTAAACGATGTGTCTCTTCACCATATGTATGTCCATGGCGATAGCGTAATTGATGTATATATCCCGTGTATCTATTAAATATTGAAATAAAATTACAGCATATTTGCTGTAATCATATTGCATAAACTATTCATCAAGTAAATCATAAGTTCTTTTCACAATCTCTATTTTCACTGAAGTAATCTGAGACATTCATAACAAATGAAAAGAAGAACAACAGCTAACAGTAAATTAATATGAGTTTCAAAAAAACAAAAATTATTTTATAGTTTCATACTATAACTATTGTGATTAAAAACGCGTCAAAATACAAATCAATTGTCAGAATGCAGACATTTTACAATGTCAATTATTGTGTGTATACCTCTTAGAAGAAAAGGATCTGTCTGTTGATTTTATTTGTTTTTCTTTTAGAAAGAAAAATTCTACTTTTTTCTTCAAGGTATTTTGATAATATTTTGCTAACGAAATCCCAAAGGGTTAGAACAAACTTTAACGAAAAAAAAATGTATATTTTTCAAAGAATACATATGCTTCAAGTGTTTATATACGAACATCTCATATTTTTGTTACCTTCTTGACAACAAAACATTTATTCCACAAAACAAATATATAAAATTTTTTATGGGTATGTCATTTTCTATATGTATTAATTCTTGTTTTATATTTATTGAAGATTATTACTTTGGCACTTGTGAGCCATCTTTAAGATTAGAAAATTGCCGGCGAGCTTCGATAGACGGTCCACCACCAAATTCGATTGTTGTCATTCCTCTTGTTTGAGAAGAAAAGAAAAAATTATATATATATAAAAAACATTCAAACTTCACATCTTTTTATTGTCTTTCATTTATATTTAAGTCTATTAAAGAAATCTTAGCAACGACCTCTATATTGATCTTATCAACAGAACATATTTATGCATTTCATATTATTTTTTCAAAAAAATAAATAAAAAAATTTATTAAGAATTGAGTTTGTCTTAGACATATTTTTAAAATTTTTTACATATTATTAAATAAATGAAAATTTTTAATTGGTTCAATAAAACTTGTTCTTTGTTTATTCGATTCATTCATTACCTATTCACTTTGTCTACATAATTCGTTATTTTTCATTCCAACAATTCATATAATCACTGTTCTAATGACTTCTGTAACACAACATTCAGAAACTATGGCAAATACATTAGTAGGAGATGCATCTGCTGATATGCATATGACAAATTCTGAAGAAAATCTAGTTAATGGCATGGATGAAGAATCAAATGCAAATGAAAATAAAATCGGCAAACGAAAACGATCAACAAAAAAGTCACTCGAACCAACAGAAAATATACCCAATGGACGTCCAAAACGTACATTATCTAAACGTAAGTAAATTTAAATAAATAACATATATATATATATATATATATAAATAATAATGATAATTTTAGGTGAAGAAGTATCAACAAATATGGTTAATGGTACTACAAAAACAAATAAAACTAAAATTGAACAAACAAATGGTGAAGCCGATGATGATCAAGAACGTGATAAACAAATTCCAATACTTTATGATGTTGCTGATGTTGTTTGGGTTAAAATGGGTGGACATCCTTGGTAAGATAAATATTTCAATGAAAAAAAAAAATATTTCTATAAAATTTATCTACAGGTGGCCAAGTCTTGTAATTCGAGATCCAAATGATTCTACCGGATGTTTTACTAAAATTTCTGGTATATATTAATGATATTTCCTCAGAAAAGAAAATATTTTTGTTCTTTCTTAGGTAATGCTCGACCAAAACGCATGTATTTTGTTGTATTCTATGGTTCAACTGCTGATTTTGCTTGGGTATCTGATGCAGCAATAATACCATATAAAGGTGTTGAAGCATTTACTAAATATGCTCAAGAAACTGTTGATAAGGTATACAATTTAATCGAATAATAATAAGAATTTGAGAAAAAAGAATCATCGTTTTGTTTTTGAGGCACAAACAAAATCTCAAAAAGAACAATTAACTGAACGATTTCAATTAAAAGTTACAATTGGTCGACGTGAAGATTGGGAAATGGCTGTACGTGAAGCTGATGAAGCAATTAAACAAACTAATGAAAAACGTCTTCAAGAAATTGAACCAAAAGTTCATTTCTATACAAAAAGACTCGGTAGGATAATATTGTTTATTTCATTTTTACATTACATTTTTCTTTTTTATGTGAAGTTACTCCAAAAGGTCAACCAGGTCGTCGACCAAAAACATCTATTACCAAACCAGAAGAATCATCTGAATCTATTGGAACATCAACATTAGATCCAAATAATCGTTCATTACTTGCTGAAAAAACATTTGAATTTAAATCTGACGATGAAGATTCATCAACTGATTCACCTATACGTAAAAGTTCATCAGTTAAAATTAAACTTAGTAAACAAACATCAAATGATTCCGATTCAAATCCAACACCACCAAATAAAAATCGTTATATACCTAAAACAATTTCATCCGCAGATAAAATAAATACTACAGCAACAACAACAACAACAACAACAACAACTGTTTTTGGACAAACAGCAAATGGTTCATCAGTTTCATATGAACAACGAACACCAATAAATACTAATTCTGTTAATACAACACCAATTAAAACAAATCCAACTCAAATAGTTAATGGTACAAGTAGTGGAAGAAAACGTGGACGACCACGTCTTAAACAACCATCAATATCATCAAGTAATGAAGATGTTCCTGTTCCAGAATTTAATTCTGCTAGTCCATCAGTTACAACTAAATTTACAACACAACGTAAACCAATTATAAAACCTCAAGCATTTATGAATTCATCAACAAATAATGTTCTTAGTGGACAACATGATATACGAACTGGATTTTTATCACCATTTGAAGAACAAGAAGTACTCGATGCACTTGAACAATTAGGTTCAACAAAAACATTTGAAGAAGCTGAACAAAAAGCTAAACGTCGTTTTGAACATATACTTTGTTTAAATCTTAATCGAACACATGTTGATATACCACAAGAATGTAAGTTTTTATTTCGTACAGGGGAATTCACTCGAGGTGATATCTCTAATCTTAAATGCGAGGTATCATTTCGAATTGTTCCTTCGTTAGAGAAATTTTTTGTTTTTTTTTTTGAATTTGAAATGTTTTTTTAGGGTTTTATACATTTTTATTTACTCATCCATCATTAATTATAAAAAATCCTCAATGGTTTACTGAGAAAAATAATACGGATACATTAAATGATAATGATTTACTTAATGATGTTCAATCATCAAGTAGTTTAGCAGTTCTTAAACATCAATTAGTTGTTTTATCAAAATTATATCGTAACGAATTACAAGCTCGTCAATCAGCACCAGTTAAAAAACGACGATCAACAGCTGGTAGTAATGTTGGTAAACAAAAATCAATTGAAAAAAAACAAGATTTAGATGAAAAATTAAATGATATTCAAGATAAAGAACAACAACAACAACAAGAAGAACTTATTAATTAATACATATAGAGATAAACAATATTTTTGCTTTTCTTATCTAAATGTATATTTCGGTTTTTTTTTTCTATTCAATTATGATGTTCTCGTAGAAAACAAAATAAAAAACGCTTTATATGTATATGTGATGAGTTGAACTCATTCGCAATATTTGATAGAAAGAGAGAAAAAAATAGATGTATGTGTGTATCTTGTATTTCTGAATTGATTATTTTCTTCTTGTATGTGTTCATTTTGTTGTTGTCTTGTTATTATTGTTCTTGCTGTTTTGGTTTCATTGGAAGCAAACAATAAATATTCCCTTTTTTTTTCGTAGATTCAAAAATAGACATAGATTCATTTGTTTTCTTGATATGATATAAAAAAACCAAAAGAGAAAAATATCGAAAAAAACAAATGAAGTATGTAGTAAACGATTACTTCAGATGTCGACCGTTTATTATTACTGTTCTCATTATTCTCTTAATTTGTATCTGTAACCAGTAGTAACGGTGATGATTAATACTAGACAGAGATTAACGACAAGGTTGGCTGTAGAGAGGACGAAAGAAAAAAATGTCTCCATGGTGTGTGAGAGTATTAGAGTTCGACGTATCCAAACTTTTCGGACCCGGTTCATTAAACTTTTTCGAGTCTGCATCCGATTGAACCATATTTTGATACTTTCTTTCGAGTTTTTCTATTCGATGTGTACGGTAGAACTCCATCAGGTGAGAAACTATCTGCAGTTACTTCATTTGTTAATTGATAAAAAGGAAGATCTTTGCTACATGTATAAAATTATTAGGGAGTTTTTTAAAGATTTATTTAGTATTCATGATACGATGTTTCGATGTCTTAAAGGACTTTTCGATCTTTCTACGGTCAACACATTAAGACCTTTGATAGTTATTCCTTGATTATTGCATTGCGTTTTGTTGTCAATATCATTTCAAATATTTATCATATTTCAACTTATAAATATTTAGTTAATTTTCACTTGTCATACTACTGAAGACGCACACGTTTTGTTTTTTTATATTAAGATAGAAATACGAAGAAAAATCAATGAGAAACAAAATATAGAAACTTGTCTAAACAACACACAAAGCATTGAAACAACAAGAAGAAGAGCCCAGCTATAATCATGATATTATGATGTATGCCTATCTGACATCCTACGGATGATAAGTTTTCATTGATTATTTTAATCGTGTATTCGACGAATATTTTGTCCTTCTCGTGTTATTTTATTCAATGCTTGAACAATTGATACAGTTACATTCATTTGTCCAATAACTTCTGGGTTATCATCGATTCCATATACTTGAAAAACAAAAAAAAAAAACAAAGAAGTAAAAATAAAATACAGATAAAATCATTTTACCATCAATGCTTTTTTCAATAAGATCAGTTTGCTTCTGTAAAAGTTGTTTAGCATTTATAGTAGCAACACCAACATCAACACAATCAAGTGTTGGTTGATCTTCAGGTGGTTCACCTACGACAACAAATTTTATTCTAAATAAATCAATATATCATTATTTATCATTCTATATACATATTCAATGACTTACTCTCCACTTGATTGTGTTCCAATAAGTTCCGAAAGTTGATGTTTCTTTGATTGATCACGTACCGAAAAATCTTCAAAAAAGAAAAATGAATCTTTAGAAAACTAAATCAATAATTAAAATTTATTATACCAGTTTGAAAATTAAAACTATATTTTGTATTTGGTTCTCCTTTTACTAATGCATATGGTGTTTCAAGTGCTTCTTGTGGATAATCAAGAAATTCTACACTAACAAATACTTTTTCACAATTATCATTATCAAATACAGAACATTTATCATTGAGTACAAGATCATGTACACCAATTGTTACAACATCATTTTCTTTTTTAGTATTTTTTGGCGTTGATGTTTGATAAATAATATCTGGATCAGATTCATCAACATAACGTGTTGATGTACCTGATGGATTGACTACATCATCAGATGATTCTAAAGATAAATCAAATACAAATAAATAAATTGAAATCAAATCATATTTATCAACAATCAATCTATAAAATGCTTATATATTCAGAGATTTCAATTCTTTTAATTTGACTAAATTTCGTTCTGCGATAAAAGAAAATTAAGTATATAGAATGAAGACCCACGGAGAATTTTGGATTATTAAACGACCTATTTTTAATCCTAGTTTATTGAATATCTCCCAAAAACGTTATGATACAGCGCTGAAATTTTTATCATAGCCTCTTTACTACAGCTCCA